ATACATCAATCTTCTCAATGATGTGGTACATATCTTCCATTTGGACAGTCCCTGACAGCTCCGTCAAGGAACTGAACCGAAGAGCTAGACTTTACCTTTGGACAGGCGATCCTAACAGAGATWAATGTATATCTAAGATAGCATGGCACTACGTCACAAGGAGGCCACAGAACGGAGGCCTAGGAATTATTGACCCAGGAACCGAAACCAAAGCCTTGCAAATCAAATGGATCATCAAATTATTGATGAAACCGGAATGTGCCTGGAACAAACTGGCATTAGACAGCATTAGATCGGTAGCCCCAATTCCCTCCCCACACGACATGTCAGGCTTGTTCTGGGTAATGAACAAAGAATGGCTGATAACGACAGGACGGAGGAACCGTACCAGGAACAACAGACCGGAGGACCATCGTCCACACACTCCGTACTGGCCGGCGCTGCTTCGATCGTGGAGGAAAATAATTCCTAATAAGACCAACAGACCGAAGTCCAAAGATGAAGTTCTCAGACAGCTACTCTTTGGGAATGAATGGCTAACAAACGAGGCTGATAACCGACTCTTTCTCGAACAGAGATGGCTGTCGTGGGTCAAAAATGGTATTTGGAAGGTAGACCACCTATGGAAGGAAGACAGAAAAGAATGGATAACGGAACAAGAGATCAGCGCCCAACTGAAAGGATGCCACAGACGAGGGTCAATCTCCAATACTTACTTAGTCGTATCCCACAAGAATGGAAAGACATCCTGGCAAAAGACGAACCGTGGAGACCAGGCGAATGGGGCCTCATGATTCAAGGTACCACCCCCTCTAGAGCCTATCAATTCTCCCATATGCAGCAGGACTCACACACCAAAGCCACCTTCCTCTCCTTCCCAATATCTCTCACTGACACTGCTACGCCAGCCATTCTGAACTGTAACATTGAATCAGCCTCATTAGACCCCTTCCTCCTTAGGAAAGTAAGGGTCTTAGGCTCATGGCCAAAGTCAATCTTCAGACCAGATACTGCAGTCCGGTCCCTAGAGTTCGATCCTGCTTAATGGGCCTGGACGCCAAATACTACCAGCAGCTTTAAAACAAAAATCCCAATTTAGGACTACACAGTCAAACTCGGGTACAGACTCTCGCTGAAGACAAAGAATCCAGACCCCATCATCAAAAGTAGGTGGCAGAAGCTTGTGGGCCAGGAAGCTGACAAAATTATACAAATTCCGTGGGAAAAATTTAAACGAAAAATTCGACCAATCAAGATCAGAAGCTTACAATGGTTGATAGTTTACGCTGCCCTACCGGTGAACCAATGGCTGCACACTAGACGGAAAGCCACAAATCATGACAGCTCGGAGTTATGTGCAGTCTGCTCTGCAGGAGTGGTAGAAGATATAGTTCACTGTCTGGTGTCCTGTAAAGAAGCGACAGATTACTGGGCAAGAGCCTCTTCACTTTGGGGCTCCCTCTTCACATCCCCCTTCCCTGATCAACCCATCCAACTCCTCCTTCTGACTAACATTCCCAACCCAGTTCGGAGAGCAGAAAGGATCTGGTTTGAGCTAATCAGGAAAGTGACGCTATGGGTCATATGGAAGGAAAGATGCATCAGAACAATCGAAGGACGCTCCAACCCAAGGGAGAAGGTATGGATAGAAACCAAAACAATGATTCAAGCAGAAATACTTTGCAGATGGCGTAAGATCAAACAAGCCTGGACAGAGGACGAGGAGCAGTGGAAGAAGGAGAGACTGGGCTTCTACAACAGTTGGCTGACCAAGGGCAAGATCACAGAGCTGCGAGAGGACCGGGTATGCTGGAAAGAGTGGCACAACTCAATTTCTGAAAGGGGTCTTCAACAACATACAGCGTCGGAAGCAATAATCGCGGCTTAGGCCTCAAGGGACTGAACCCCACGCCGCAAGAGTCTTAGGG